GCTCACGCTGCTGCTGTACACGGCGCTGCGGTGCTCGGCGCCGCCCAGCGAGGGCGCGTGCGGGCCGGGGAAGCGCGTGCTGCTGTGCTCGAGCGCGGTGGGGAGCTGGTCGTACTCGCAGCAGAGGCGGCAGAGGGTGTGCTCTGGGGAGGGGCCGCCCAAGGCGGACCTCATGGCCTTCAGCCCCAGCCTCCCACAGGGTCCCAGCTCTGCAAACAATGTGAGTCTCAAATATTTTATTCATTGCTACTTTTCGTTGTAAGACTTCAATCTTTCCCTCCATTTCTTTTTATTTTAAAAAATGGTGTTTTACTTACCATTCTTTTAAATGTAAATTTTCTGTTGGTACTAAGTCATTTACTTAAAATTATGCTTAAGCTTAAAATTAACTTTAGCTTTTTGGAGATAATTGCTTTGCACTATAAAGTTTAGTTCTGTAACATTCCCCCTTTTTATAAAATTTTTAAGGTTGTGGTTAATAGATTAGTTTTTTGTTATAGAAAGTATTTCTGAAATTAAATTTTAAGAAACATTTTAATTTCCAGTCTTTGAAAATGTAGGAAGATACTTGTAAGACATATATTTGGAGTTATTATTTATTCTCAAAGCCCTATAGTAATGGTACATCAAAATCTTTTTACAAAATTGAATCAGTTTCCTTTTGTTCTCCATTGAATATCAATTATTTTAGTTTTTTTGTTACACCAATGTAATTTCTTCTTTAAAGTATATTTTATTGATTATGCTATGACAGTTGTCCCATTTTTTCCTCCTCTTTATCTCCCTCCACCCTGCACCCTCCCTACCTCCATCACTCCCCCACCTCCGCCCCATTCATTCATGTCCATGGGTGGTACATATAAGTTCTTTGGCTTCTCCATTTCCTACTATTCTTAACCTTCCACTGTCTATTTTGTACCTACCATTTATGCTACTTATTCCCTGTACCTTTCCCCCATTCTGTCCTCTCACCCTCCCTGCTGATAACCCTCCATGTGATCTCCACTTTTGTGATTCTGTTCCTGTTGTAGTTATTTGCTTTTTTTGTTTGTTGTTTAGGTTCAGTTGTTGATAGTTGAGTTTGTTGTCATTTTACTATTCACATTTTTTTCCTTCTTTTTCTTAGATAAGTCCCTTTAATATTTCATATAATAAGGGCTTGGTGATGATGACCTCCGTTAACTTGACCTTATCTGGGAGGCACTTTATCTGCCCTTCCATTCTAAATGATAGCTTTGCTGGATAGAGTAATCTTGGAGGTAGGTCCTTGCCTTTCATTACTTTGAATACTTCTTTCTAGCCCTTTCTTGCCTGTAAAGTTTCTTTTGAGAAATCAGCTGGTAGTCTAAGGGGACTTAACTCCTTTGTAGGTAACTCTTTCTTTTTCTCTTGGTGCTTTTAAGAGTCTCTCCTTATCTTTAATCTTGGGTAATTTAATTATGCTGTGCCTTGGTGTGTGCTTCTTTGGGTCCAACTTCTTTGAGACTCTCTGAGCTTCCTGGACTTCCATGTTTATTTTCTTTGCCACATTGGGGAAGTTTCCCTTCATTATTTGCTCAAATTAAATTTTTAATTTCGTGCTCTTCTTCTTCTCCTTCTGGCATCCCTATGATTCATATATTGGGACATTTAAAATTGTCCCAGAGAATCCTAAGCCTTTCCTCATTTTTTAAAATTCGTTTTTCTTCATTCTGTTCTCATTGAATGTTTATTTTTTTCTTCTATTCCAAAGTATTGATTTGAGTCCCAGTTTCCCTCGTTCACTGTTGGTTCCCTGTATGTTTTTCTTTATTTCAGTTTATATAGCCTTCACTTCTTCCCTTATTTTGTGGCCATATGGAATAATTTCTATGAGCATCCTGATTACCAGTGTTTTGAACTCTGCAACTGATAGGTTGGCTATCTCCTCATTGCTTACTTCTTTTTCTCTAGTTTTGATCCATCCTTTCATTTGGGCCATATTTCTTTGTCTTGCTGCACCTGTTATGTTGTAAGGGGCAGAGCCGTAGGTATTCTCCAGACCAGGGCAACCCACTTTGCTATTGTGGTACTGTATGTGGGGAAGAGATCAGAGATGGGAACAATGTTGCTTGCTGGGCTCTTGCCCCACTTTCAGTCACTTCTCCCAGTACCCACAAACAAACTGGGAACTTCTGATGCTGATTCCCTGGTGGGGTGGGCTTGTGTACATCCTAGGACCCCATGGGTCCCTCCAACAGATTGTCCTGTTGAGACTGGGAGTATCTTCTGCTGCCGCAACCCCTACATGATTTTATAGCCAGAGGTTTTGATGCTTTATTTCCCTGCCTTGGAATCCCAGGTTGCGCAATCTGTCTCCTTCCCCAGTTGTTTCTCCCTGTCTGCCAGCTACCAACTTGCCTTGTGTCTTCTCCACCCAGGTTGCTGGTCTTTGCCCCTCCTACCAGTCTGGATGAATGTTTTCTCTTTAACTCCTTGGTTGTCAGACTTCTACACTGTTAAATTTTCTGGCAGTTTGGTTGTTTTGTTTTTAAATTGGTTGTTGTCCTTCTTTTGGTTGTACGAAGAAGGGAAACATATCTACCTATGTCTCCATCTTGTCTGGGAGTCCTCCTTCCTAATTTCTTTTTTTCAGTAATATTTTTGCACTGAATGATTCTTTTTGAATTTATCTAAATAGTTAGCCTTGCATACTCATGAGGAATTTATAGTTAAAATTTTGTTAGCTTCAATGTTTTCATTTTTGAATAGGAAATACATTTACATAGTTTAAAATGTTTCCCTTCTATCTCCAATATCAAGCCACTTAATATGCCTTCTTGAATATTTCAAACACTGAGATATCTTGGTTATCTTTCTGGAGATATTTTCTTTATATACAAATAAACTGCCCTCTCCTGTTTTCACCCATAATATTCATATTACTTTTTCCTTTTGTTTTCTTCCATCAATTACCATGGTGGTCAAGCCATATTATTACTTAAGGGGATATCTCATATTTTTTCCATATCTATGGTGTTCCATTTGGTAGGTATATAATAATTTTCCTCTTTAACATCAACATTTAGTGGAACAATAATTAGTTTTTGATTAACTTGCATTTTTTAATTTACAAATTATTATGTTGGTGAGAAGGCATTGTGAAATCTTATGGTTTGGAAAATCCTAAATCCTAACATTTTTTCTTTAGAAAATTTTGGTACTTATGGTTACTTTTTTGTTTTTAGATTAAATAAGTGTGTCATGACATCAACCTCCCTCTTGAGCTGGTTGTTTATCAATACAATTTTGTATAACAAAGCTGTACGTTTGAATGTACCATAGAAAAGGGTGCTCTCCATCTCAAATACAGAGAATTGTTTTTCTACACTTGTTGAAAAAACAATGTGGGTGTAGCACATAATCAATATTTCACATTTTGTATGATAAAATGTCAATTCCTATTTTTATTGCTTTGCCTATTTCTTGCCTTTTCACATGTATTTAATTTTTAAAATATACTATATCATAGTATTCAAATATTTCTAATACCCCATTACTTTGGTGGAATCCTAGAAATTGAGAAGTGAGTTCTCACCACTGTGTAAACTTGTGGTTAGCAATAGGCAGATATTCAGAAATCAAGTTAATTTAGTGTTAAAATATAAATTCTTTGATTTATGTTATAATTGAAATGTTTCTTTGTTGGAGAAGAGGCTGTCCATAGAGTGATTAAAACATTTTTCTCTAATACTCTTTTCTCTCGACTAGAATGAGGTTTTTTTGTAAATAAGTGAGCAAATATGTAAGCTGTTTCTCATGAGAGAACCAACATTTTCCTTTTCTATGCTAATTTATTTTACATATAGGATTTCAGTAACATTGTATTTTTATTAAAGAAAATAAACAAAATTATTATAATTATTCCATTTAATTGGATTATATTATAAACTCTCTGAAAATTGCTAGGAACTGCAATGGAATAACAGCTGATATTTAACATTAATAATTAGAAAGTTGAAATTTGAGGAGACTTTTTTGCTTAGGGCAAAATTTATGAAACACTTGAACCACTCTAGAAAACCTACAACAATAGACTGCAAGTTGATATATATTTTTTAGGCCCAGTCATTGATTCTCTCACACATTGATGATTCTCTTCTTCCTCTCTGTCTCCCTCTCTCCTCTCTCTCTATAAATAAATTAAAAAAATCTTTATAGAAAGAACAATGGGTAGAAACTTCATGAGATTTAGCAATGATTGAGAAGTATGTGAAGGAAAATGTTTTAAGAGGAAAGCAAAATATAAACCACAAAGAAATTTTAAAATGTAAAGAATATATAATAAAATATTTATCTTCCATTATTTAAAAAACCCACAGGAGTTTTTGCTATTTATTGAACAAAGAAAGAATGAACTTAAATAATCTGTAAGGTTTTAAAATTTTGGATAAAATTTTAATTGCATTAATTAAAAATTACATTCTTTTACCAAAACAAAATGTAACAGCATGTTCTGTAACAGAAATATATGCAAAATTTTTTTTCTCTGCATAAGAAGTCTAGGAGGGCTTTCATTTCTAATTCCCAAACCTAGTTCAAATCACACTTAAATTTTCTATATTGGTTGATAACAGTATTTAAGTTATTGGAAGAAAAGTTGTTTCACTGTGAATTATTTGATCCCTCATTTTACTCTAAATTATAAGAGAAGTCAGACAAAATGAAACCGACCCTGCAAATTACAAACATGAGGAGATTTACTATTAAAAGTAAAGCAGAGAAGTTTGTTTTATTTTGTTTTAATTAAAGAACTATAGCATAAGGCGGTTATAGAAATTCATTTCTTACTTACCCTTTCGAGCCGCGTGATGTCGCTGTCCACCAAGAAGTTACATCTAGGTATTATTCAAACGTATTCCTCCTATTACTGTACCGCTAACCAGTGCAGAATGATGGCGGGCGAAGAAGATTTGGATTAAAAAACTCAGATCGTACAGTATTTCACCTCAATGACGAGAGAAGATCTTCTGATGGAAATAAAACAAGTATTTGACATGGTTATTACTCCTGAAAGCCGACTGGGATCTCAGCGTCTGCTTCTCTCGCTATTGTTTCTAGTCCTCTGGGAGGCAGGGAGCGGCCAGGTCCACTACTCCGTCCCCGAGGAGGTCAAACACGGCACCTTCGTGGGCCGCATCGCGCAGGACCTGGGGCTGGAGCTGGCCGAGCTGGTGCCGCGCCTGTTCCGGGTGGCGTCCAAAGGCCGCGGGGACCTCCTGGAGGTAAATCTGCAGAATGGCATTTTGTTTGTGAATTCGCGGATCGACCGCGAGGAGCTGTGCGGGCGGAGCGCGGAGTGCAGCATCCACCTGGAGGTGGTGGTGGAGCGGCCGCTGCAGGTTTTCCACGTGGAGGTGGAGGTCACAGACATTAATGACAACCCGCCTGTGTTCCGGGTAAAGGAACAAAGGGTGCTGGTTTACGAATCTAGGCTGCCAGATTCCCTGTTTCCACTAGAGGGCGCGTCGGATGAGGACGTGGGCTCAAACTCCGTTTTAACCTATAAACTCAGTTCCAGTGAATATTTCACGCTAGCTGTGAAAACAAACAGTGACGGCAATACGCAAATTGGGCTTGTGTTAAGGAAATCTCTGGACCGAGAGGAAACTCCCGAACATGCCTTACTGCTCACGGCCACTGACGGAGGCAAACCTGAGCTCACTGGCGCCCTTCAGGTTCTGGTCACTGTGCTGGACGTGAATGACAACGCCCCCAGTTTCCCACAGTCTGAATATGAAGTGAGAATATTCGAAAACTCAGACAACGGGACGGTAGTTATCAGGCTGAATGCTTCTGATGCCGACGAAGGATCCAATCAGGAGATTTTTTATTCTTTTAATAGCCTTGTTCCGCCCGTGGTTATCGACCAGTTCAGCATGGATTCCAATACCGGAGAACTAACAATTCGAAAGACTCTGGACTTTGAAAAAGTGAATTCCTATAAATTCCGCATTGACGCCACGGACAGAGGCCACCCACCGATGGTGGGCCATTGCACAGTTTTGGTAAAAGTCTTAGATGTTAATGATAATGTGCCTCAGATTTCCGTGACTTCATTATCCCTTCCAGTGAGGGAGGACGCTCCCCTGGGTACTGCGATTGCGTTACTCAGCGTGTCCGACCGAGACGCTGGCTCCAATGGCCAGGTGAGCTGCTCCCTGATGCCCCACAGGCCCTTCAGGCTGGTGTCCACCTTCAAGAATTACTACTCGCTGGTGCTGGACAGCGCCCTGGACCGCGAGAGCGTGTCGGACTATAAATTGGTGGTGACAGCGCGGGACGGCGGCTCGCCCTCGCTGTCGGCCACCGCCAGCCTGTCCGTGGAGGTGGCCGACGTGAACGACAACGCGCCGACCTTCGCGCAGCCCGAGTACACGGTGTTCGTGAAGGAGAACAACCCGCCCGGCTGCCACATCTTCACGGTGTGGGCGCGGGACGTGGACGCGCAGGAGAACGCGCGGGTGTCCTACTCGCTGGTGGAGCGGCGGGTGGGCGAGCGCGCGCTGTCGAGCTACGTGTCTGTGCACGCGGAGAGCGGCAAGGTGTACGCGCTGCAGCCTCTGGACCACGAGGAGCTGGAGCTGCTGCAGTTCCAGGTGAGCGCGCGCGACGCGGGCGTGCCGCCTCTGGGCAGCAACGTGACGCTGCAGGTGTTCGTGCTGGACCAGAACGACAACGCGCCCGCGCTGCTGCCTTCGTGGGCGGGCGGCGGCGGCGGCAGGGAGAGCGAGGTGGTGGTGTCGCGGTCTGTGGACGCGGGCCACGTGGTGGCGAAGGTGCGCGCGGTGGACGCGGACTCTGGGTACAACGCGTGGCTGTCTTACGAGCTGCAGCCGGCGGCGGGTGCTGAGCGCAGCCCGTTCCGCGTGGGGCTGTACACGGGCGAGATCAGCACGACGCGCGCCCTGGACGAGGCGGACGCGCCGCGCCAGCGCCTGCTGGTGCTGGTGAAGGACCACGGCGAGCCGGCGCTGGCGGCCACGGCCACCGTGCTGCTGTCGCTGGCGGACGGCGGCCAGGTGCCGAAGTCCTCGTTACGTGCGTCTTCCGGTGCTGCGGTCGCCGAGACGGCGCTGGTGGACGTGAACGTGTACCTGATCGTGGCGATCTGCGCGGTGTCCAGCCTGCTGGTGCTCACGCTGCTGCTGTACACGGCGCTGCGGTGCTCGGCGCCGCCCAGCGAGGGCGCGTGCGGGCCGGGGAAGCGCGTGCTGCTGTGCTCGAGCGCGGTGGGGAGCTGGTCGTACTCGCAGCAGAGGCGGCAGAGGGTGTGCTCTGGGGAGGGGCCGCCCAAGGCGGACCTCATGGCCTTCAGCCCCAGTCTGCCACCCTGTCCAGTAGCATCGGATATAGGAGAGCGTCAGGATTTAAGTGATGATCATTGTGGCAAAGTAAGTGAAATTTCATGTTATGTTTCCTCGTTATTTTGAAGTATTATCATTGTTTTTCCCAATGTTTCTCTTTACATTTTTCTATTCTTAAAATTTTTTAATAATTTCACATTATGTACATCTTTTTGTTCTTTTTTTAATTTTAATTTATTTTTTTCAAATACATTTGTCTCTGCCCCCCCCTTTTTTGTTCTTTTAATTATAATCTTTTGGTTTGTTATATTTAGTTTAAAGTATCATCAGATATTAACATCATTCTGCACCACAAAAGTTTTGTTTTCAAACTAAAATTTTTTGATAGGTACATTTCTGGTCTATTAACAATGGGCATGCATAGTAGTATTTTTCTGATTAATGCTATAGAATTACCATATCTGTCCATTTGAACTTCAGGAGAGTCATTTCTCATTTACTCACCTTAAAATTTATATGTTGACATTTTAATACCACTTTATTACTTACTCTTTTACCCTTTCTGTGTCTCTTTCTTTTCGTATCTTTTTATTTTGTTTCGTGAACTTTATTTAACCAACATTATCAAGTTCTCCATTGTGTGTAAGGGCGTTGTCCATCTTATCTTATTCTTAAGACTCCCCCTTCCTGCCAGTGATTCCAAGAGTCTGCAGTGTTTATTGTCGATTTTTAAACCACTTAGCAATAAAGGACAGAACTGTGGTTAGCAGACTGAGTACTTCTGATTGGGATGAAGGAGTGAAAGGGAAAACTCCCTACTCTTTTCATTACCATGTGACTTACCTGATATATGGAGATTATTGCTCCATATATCAGGGATCCAGACATGGGAGAAATAGTAATTCAAGGGAATCTGAACTTCAATCAAGTAAGTCCATCTAAAATCTGTGTTCCTTAGACACTGTCAATCTTTTGTGTATGTTTTATTTGGTGGGTTTCTTTTAATGGAGAGCTATATCTTCAGATTTAATGCATTCTCTATTCTTCCTGTTTTATTATTTAAGCTACTCACTATTTCTGTATGTGAAAGAAGCAGATTATGGTGTAAGGTGTGGTGAGTTTTGAAGCCATCCTTTCTTCCCTAAATTTCATTTCTACCAGTCTTGCTCTGTGCAGTATGGGTGACTGTTTAAACTCTCAGCTTCCAGCTTTCCAGCTGTAAAGTTGGGATGATAAACAGTATCTATCACAAAGAATTAAAAGTATGTAGTACATTCATACTTATAAAGTCCTCATAATAGCCCTTGTTAAGTAGCATTTAGCAAATTAGCTACTATTTTCTGAAGAACAGGAAAATTTAAAATGTCAAAAATTTGTCATTATGGCTTCTACATTAATTTTATGTGAACATTATGAGTCTTGCTATTCATGGGGAAGCCATAATTACCAAACTAATCCAAGATGTCCATAGCATTTTGAATGCCAAGTATTACACTGAAAAGCCAGTTCTTTAAAGTTGAAAATTGAATGAAGACTTGGAAGTGAAAAAAATGTTTGAATTCATAAAAGACATTTAAGGTGTGGAACCCTCAGTACTTTGCTGAAGGTGATTTTAACTCCTTGTGTTGTCCAAGTTTTACCAGGAAATACTAGATTATCTTGAACTGGAATGGTGTATTTTCTTACATTTAAAAGTTGCTTCAGGTCCATGAGAAGACTCAGTTGGGGTTTATGTTTTTCAATGTGTTCATTTTCCATTCTTGAAATTACAAAACCATTAATAATGTTTTCTGTTTTTTTAAAAAATAAGTAAGCACATAATGATTTTTAAACACACTTAAAAGTGACAAAATAGGCCATGGTTATACTAATCAATAAAGAGCATTATTTGGATAGGTAATTTTATATAACAACCTTAAAAACAGCATGCTTTCTTAGGAAACAGAGATGAACCATAGCCACAACTCATGAAGAAATATTTTTAAAAGGTTCTAGGCAGGTGTCCAAGAGCATGAAGTTGTGCCAAGACTCATTGAAATAACAGGACCCAGTGCCTGGCTTCAAGGATTTTATAGAAAAATAAAGATATATGTCATAGATAGATATGACCATTTCAGAAGGCAGAATATTATAAGGTACAAGCAAAGTAAATCCCTACAGATGGAATTAAAAAGAGATCTGCCTATTTCCCTTGTTGAAGGAACCCTTCAATAGTTATGATATTTTTAGGGTTTTGTAATGGAGAAATTTCCCATGGGGGAATAATGAATATAATAGGCACTCTTGGAAACAGATGAACTTAAATGATGCAGAAAATTCCAAAGGTACCTGGAAACAGGGAATAGTTTTTTTCAGTCAAAACATATTGTTCGCATAGGAAAGAGTATAAAATAAGACTGGAAAATTAATATGAGAGAAATCATTTGGGTAACTTCGAGTACTACATAAAGAAATTTTCACTCACCTTTAATGTCAGTGTGAAACAGTAAGAATAAAAGGTTTTTTCAGGAAGATGACCAGCGGTGTTAAGTGAAGAATAAATGGAGTTATGACAAGATAACACAATCAGATGCAATTGCAATAATTCAGGATAGTAGCAATATTTAGAACTCCTTTAGGCAGAGATCAATCTTGGAAAGCATTAGAAAGAAGATGTAATTACTTTACTTGAAGTTAGGAACATGGGAGTGAACATTTGAAACTTGCTCTGTTAAGTACTATAAAAAGGATAAAACACCGCAAGCTTGTTTAAAGGACTGCTGTAGCATGATAGGTGAGTAGCAACATTTATCTTATGAAATAAACTTACATGATAAAATAAATAATCTAAATTGTATTGGAGATTATAAAAACAATGGATATTCATAAAACATGAGGCTTCAAAACTATGGAAAGAATAAAGAGTTATAAGAACCATGAACTCTTGAAACAGAATATATAAATTCTGATGAAAAGAGAAACTCAGAATACTTCCTTCTTACAAAATTCACTTAATACAAATTATTTCCCTTCAAAGATCCCCAGAACCAATCACTGTGTTTTCTTAAGAAAAGTATATAAATTAGTTGCTTATATTCCTTACTTCTGAAAAACAACCTTTCTAAGATTTTCTTCCATTGATAGACTCTTGAGATCATGAATCCCTAGAGAGACCAAGAATTTTCTTATCAAAAGTCAAAAAGAAAAATAGAGTTTCCTAAACCTGATCAAAGGATTTTAAAACTAACATGGTTCTTTTGTCACTTAGACTTTTTTAAAAAGATTTTATTTATTTACTTTTAGAGAGAGGGCATGAGAGGGAGAAAGAGATGGAGGGAAATAGCAATGTGTGGTTGCCTCTTGAATGCCCCCAACTGAGGACCTGGCCAGGCAACCAAGGCATGTGCCCTGAATGGGAATCGAACCGGTGACCTTTTTGTTTGCAGGTAGGAGCTAGATCCACTGAGGCACACCAGCCAGGGGGTCACTTAGATTTTTATCTTTATTTTAAAACTTTGTGGAAATACCTGTTATCAAGCCACAAGGAAACCACAATTATGATCACGCTAAATATTCAGAAGTTAAGTCTCCTAAGAATACCATTAGCAAGCACGAGAGTGTTTCCCTTAACAAAAATAAAGGAAAAATTCAGAGGTTGAAATAAAACTTTGCATCTTACTATAGAAAGTTTGATTTTTGTAATTCATACTTACTATTTGGGCCACATGATGTCGCTCTTTACCGTCAAATTCTCTCATATTAAAGACAAAACTAAGTCATCCATTTTCACATCGGAAAGACTCTCCACACTGTTATATTATCCGGAAATTGAACAATGGCGAGCAAATCGGGATACTGAAGAAGGGATAAGAAAATTCCTATACATTTTGAGACAAGTTACATTGACTAAAATTTTAAAAACAATAATTTGAAATGGTGGATTCGAGTCCAGACGATTCGGGGAACCGGAACCTACTGCTGCTGTTTATAATTCTCACGGCCTGGGAGAACGGGAGCGGCCAGGTCCACTACTCGGTCCCCGAGGAGGCCAAACACGGCACCTTCGTGGGCCGCATCGCGCAGGACCTGGGGCTGGAGCTGGCCGAGCTGGTGCCGCGCCTGTTCCGGGTGGCGTCCAAAGGCCGCGGGGACCTCCTGGAGGTAAATCTGCAGAATGGCATTTTGTTTGTGAATTCGCGGATCGACCGCGAGGAGCTGTGCGGGCGGAGCGCGGAGTGCAGCATCCACCTGGAGGTGGTGGTGGAGCGGCCGCTGCAGGTTTTCCACGTGGAGGTGGAGGTGAAGGACATTAACGACAACCCGCCTTTGTTCCCAAGAACACAAAAGAATCTGTTTATCTCGGAATCCAGGCCGCTTGACTTTCGGTTTCCACTAGAGGGCGCATCGGATGCAGATATCGAAGAGAACGCGCTGTTGGCTTACAGACTGAGCGCCAATGAGTATTTCTCTCTGGACGCACCAACCGCAGACGAACAGGTAAGATCTCTTGGACTTGTATTACGGAAACCTTTAGACAGAGAAGAAACTCCGGGGATTTCCTTAATGCTCACGGCCACTGATGGAGGCAAACCTGAGCTGACTGGCACCGTTCAGTTACACATCACAGTGCTGGACGCCAATGACAACGCCCCAGCTTTCGACAGAACGCTCTATGCTGTGAAATTACCAGAAAATGTTCCCAATGGAACATTGGTAATTAAACTTAATGCCTCAGATTTAGACGAGGGCTTGAATGGGGATATCATTTATTCATTTTCTAGTGATGTTTCTCCAGATGTAAAATCTAAATTCTACATGGACCCAATAAGTGGAGAAATTCTAGCAATAGGACATATCGATTTCGAAGAAACTAAAGCCTACAATATTCGAGTAGAGGGGATTGATAGAGGCTATCTTCCACTGGCTGGTCACTGTACCGTTATTGTGGAAGTTATGGACGCTAATGACAATGCTCCAGAGTTGACCGTCACTTCTCTGTCTCTTCCTATCTCAGAGGATGCTCAGCCAGGCACAGTCATAACCTTGATTAAAGTATCTGACCGAGATTCGGGAGCTAATGGGCAAGTGACCTGCTCTCTAACACCTCATGTCCCCTTCAAGCTGGTGTCCACCTTCAAGAATTACTA